GACGAACAGATTCTATCTAAATAAACTTTACGAAGCAGATTTTTAGTCGGCGTCACACAAAGATATTTGTCGAAGTTCACCCGTAACGGTGAGTACGACAGCATGCAGTCGTATTCAGTAGCACGGCATTTTTTTTTTCTTTCGAGATACCGTAAAGTTTGGTCATTTACTCATGTGCATTACCATTATGCACTGCTCGAACCAGTCCTTTATAATATTCAGGTTGCTATGGAGGGTTTTACTATAAAATGCAAATGAATCAACAAAAAAAAAATCAAAAGTAAACGGTTTTGAGCGAATAATTTAATTTCGACGCCAGGGCAAATGACATTAACAATATAAATGATATTGGAGGTTGTTTTGGGGAAAAATTACGGATGTCTTCATCGGAGCTGGGCAGAGATACTTGAAAAAGGATTTCTGAATACAGATTTCTCAATACAGTGGTTGGAAGTCAGAAATACAAATACTGCAATTCATTTTTCGTTGACGAAAAAGGATATTTCAGAGATACGTATGCCACAAGTCGCCAAAAAAAATCCCAAATACAGATACAGCAGTGCATCTATAGAAATACTTTTTTTTTCTTTCTGTGATGACCATATTTTGCAAATACACTAATTAGTGCACGATTTTGTAAACAATTTCAGAGCACTGAGCATTACAGTTTATATTTTTATTGCGGTACGGACAGCGCCTCTAAGACATCACATTGGTGGAGGAAGGACTTATTAAGCACATCACCGGCAATAATTACATAATTACAAGTATCTATTGCAAATAAGAAATGGCTTGCCGCCAAAATGAGTGGCTTGCCACAAACTTACCACACCAAAAAATTAGGCGTGCTGTTCTGGCATTAGCGACAGCGACGTTCAGAGACCGACAACACTGCCTCTGCGCTCCTGCACATTAGTGCGTCGTGGGCTTTGCCACATTAACCATTCTTTATTTGAATGGAAAGTATCGTTGCCCTTCCTATGTGACCGACCAGCGGCACACATTTCGTGTTCTTTGCACGAAACCAAAAATATTCAAAAATCTTCAGTTACCGCTCAGGAGCACTGAAAACGCGCCTAAACTCGGTTTTCACAAAATAAAATTTGAAGAAAACAACCACGGCCTGGCCTCCATAATATCGTGATACTATCAATACATCATAAAAGTTATTTGCTACTGAGATACCAATGCGTTTTTCAAACGCCCTTGCAAAAGACTGCGTCTGAAGAGTGGTATTGCAGCCGTGTTTCGCAACTCTTCGCAACGGTGTCCCGTTCACTTTCTGGCTTACCATTGCCCCCGCGCTTCTCCTTCCTTACATCTGGCGTTCGCTACATGGCGCCGTCTCAAAACAACTGTTACAACAACAGTTTTTGTACTTTTATCACAGCATAATAATGTCCAGTTGGTTTTTAATTAGTTGCATCTTCCTAACCAGACGTGATCTAATAAATATTTGTAAAGCGACAGCACAATACGTTGTGCTGCTAATCAGATTGTGGTTATAGTAACAAAAAACAACACAAGATTGACAGTAATATTACGATCATAGTCTACAGTATTTATGCATTTAAAGCGCACTCTGTTGCGTATAAATACCCAGCAGTCAGTCCCACCACACAGAGAACATTTCTGAGCAAGAGCGCTATAGAACGCTCAGTCATGCTTCCATGTTTATTCCGGTCAAATCTGCTGTGTAGTTGTTGTTGTCGCTATAGCATTATGTTCTGTCATTGACTACGTTTTTGCATCATTCGCGATTTTTTCGTAGGTATTTCACTGAACTGACATCCCAACCATAATAACTTTCAAAGCACTTCTGTGGTGGCTGGCTTAAGTATAATGATTAGATAAAAACCGTATTAAAGGAGCATCATGTATATGACAAGCTTGCAATAAAATAACTGAATGAAAACTAATGTACAGTGGGCCGTATGGTAAAACTTGTTGATGGTATTAAACATTTACACGCAAACACACAGATATATATATATATATATATATATATATATATATATTCATATATATATATATATATATATATATATATATATATATATATATATATATATATATATATATATATATATATATATATATATCATCGGCCTGACTACGTCCACTGCAGGACAAAGGCCTCTCCATGTTTCGCCAGTTAACCCGCTCCAGTGCTTGCTGCTGCCAATTTATACTTCTTAATCTCTTCTGCCCACCTAACCTTCTGTCTCCCCCTAACCCGGTTGCCTTCTCTGGGAATCCAGTTAGTTACCATTAAGGACCAGCGGTTATCCTGTCTACGCGCTACATGCCCGGCCCATGTCCATTTCCTCTCCTTGATTTCAACTATGATATCCTTAACCCCGTCTGTTCCCAAATCCACTCTGCTCTCTTCTGGGCCCTTAAGGTTACACGTACCATTTTTCTTTCCATTTCTCGCTGCGTCGTCCTCAATTTAGGCTAAACCGCCTTTTTAAGTCTCCAGGTTTCTGCTCCGTAGCTAAGTACCGGCAAGATACAGCTGTTATATGCTATCCTCTTGAGGGATAGTGGCAATCTACCTGTCATAATTTGAGAGTGCTTGCCAAATGTGCTCCACCCCATTCTTATTCTTCTAGTTACTTCAATCTCGTGGTTCGGCTTCGCGGTTATTACCTGCCCTACGTAGACATAGTCTTTTACAACTTGAAGTGCACTATTACCTATCTCGAAGTGCTGCTCTTTTCCGAAAATGTTGTAAATTACTTTCATTTTCTGCAGATTAATTTTGAGACCCACCTTTCTGCTCTCCTTGTCCAACTCCGTAATCATGAGTTGCAATTCGTCCTTTGAGTTACTCAGCAATGCAATGTCATCGGTGAAGCGCAGGTTACTAAGGTCCTCTCCATTAACTCTTATCCCTAACAGTTCCCATTCTAGGCTTCTGAAAACCTCCTGTAAGCACGCCGTAAATACCATTGGGGATATTGTGTCCCCCTGCTTTACACCTTTCTTGATTGGTATTCTGTTGCTTTCTTTATGAAGCACTATGATAGCAGTTGATCCCCTGTAGATTTCTTCCAGAATGTTTATATATACTTCATCGACGCCCTGATTCCGCAATATATATATATATATATATATATACTGCGTACCAGTGTATGTTTTTGTTGTTTTTGGATACACGTTTAACACTTTCGTTATTGCTACAATGATGCCTGATATATAGCAAATTAGATAATTCATGGCGGTAAAGGGTGCCAAGTAGGTGAACGTAACGTATAGTCAATGCAGCGAAATATAGGTGTACTAGAATGAGTAAATATGTGAAAGATAAGTGATCGAGGTAGCTCGCGCCACAATTTGTGCGACCAGGCCAGTTGAATTGAGCTAGAAACGGTAACATAAGGCACAATATTAGCTTCTCGTACCGGAGCGAGAAATTAACGACAGCCGGATAGAAGTTTGTTATAGGAGTTAGCGAATTCAGAAAGAACCGCTTCAAAGTTGTTTCATTTACGGGAACTTTCACATAAAAGCGGACATGCAAAAGATGGAGTAGGAAGCGCGAATGAGTTGACCAAAGAAGCATGTTCCCGAACAAGCGAACGGATGCTAACGTATACAAGGGGCTGCTCATTCAATGCAATACGTGCGTCATACCCAGCGATGGAAATACAGGGGATGCCCGGCAATGTGCGAAAGAGTATGTTCGCTACAAACAGGCAAGTATAGGAACATCGACAAACATGTGTTAGTCTGCAACGTGCTTTCGTAGCTAACCAGTTGTATATCAACTGGTGTTTTCATTCGTTTAATCTCTCTACTCCTGGTAAGCTGATATGCTGCGGCCACTGTTCCGGATGCACACACTTCACGGTATCCATTTCTAGTTCAGCGTCGTTTTTTCAGCGACAGTTGTTATCTCCCCTGCCCTACCTTTTTCTTGGTCGAACACGTAGATGTCGTCGAGCTATTGTTATTTCTCGGATGTGCCAGTCACCTTCGTTTTCAGTGACGGTGATGAATTAGGAAACACAGCACCTGTTACTTTATATTGATGAACCAAAGAAAAATATGTAGGTGATAAGTTTCTTGCGACACTTTACAACCAATCTAACTGAATCGCTTCGCGGTAAACGCGCTGTCGTAACGCGCCGGTGTGTCAAATAGAATCCGCGAGTATCACAATTGATTACACGCAGTCAGTGCACTTACTCGGCTCTTTGTTTCGCATTCAGCTCGCAGTTTTCTCTTCTCAATCGACGTTATACAAAGGCGTTGTATAGCTGAGAACAAAACATTGGCACAATTTTAGTATGATTTTGAGCGTTGTGAACTAGATAACTAGCGCTAAGTGATATCTTTTTGCTTTGCTTCTTGTTTTGTCATTAAAGGACATCGCAATAGTGCTGATGCGAGGTCTTATGTTCTGAAGTGGCGTGAATATGAACATTTTCGCATTTTGTTGCATTGCACCTACAGCTTGCCTTGTTTACTTGGTACTACGCAAGCGTGGAGGTAACCCAGCGCAATGTTGTCTAGGGGCGAGATTATCAGTTCTGCCAGCCAGCAGCCCGAGTTATAGACAGGGAAGACGTGCAATCTTACTACAAACACCCTAGTATTCTTTGGCTTTTTTTACGCGTTTATTCACGGTTATTGGTGTAACACGCCTATAGCTTGACAATTTATCATTATTGACAGGCTTCTGTTTTTCGTGCCCTTATGCGCCATTTGGTACATCATGCTACCTGAATGCATGCAACCTCTTTCAGCTGATGAACCGTCTGGGGTAAGTGTAGGAAGATTTGCGTGAGTCACTTAATTTTTACGAATGCGTGCGAGCATCGACGAGCAAGGCGCGCGTACTTGCCACTTCAAATCGACGCGCAGCGATGCGAGGAGGCTACGAGGAAAGGGAAGGTCCGGCCCTCCAGCTGCAGTTGGCTCCTTCTTCCAAGGCCGCGACCGCCCAAGATCCTCCTTTCTGTGTCCTACCTTCTTGGTGGTGGATGGTTCGCTTGTTAGTTGCTGCACAGTCGCACGAAGACCGTCGAAAAGAACACATCTTGAGTCGGCTGCGCGGAGCGCCGGCCGCCGACAACCCTTCCCAAACCTGGCCTTCAGTTTTGCCATATCATCCGAGGCAAGATAAATCTAGGTGAGCTACACCGTTGTTAAACACCTTTAAGGTATAGAAGTGGTTGTGAAAACCCAAGCTTGCGCTTCAAAATAGACAGTTTAAAAGCTGGGGCCCAATATAGGCTTGCGTAGGCTACGCCTTGCGTACAACTCTGCCCCACCCTGGCCTTCAGCTTTGGCGTATCATCGAAGCGATAAGCACTGAAGGTAAGCTAATTCGTTAATAAACACTTTTAGGGTATTAACGGCTCTAAAAACTGAAGGGCGTGCTTTAAAGTATTAGTTTCAGTGCTGCAGCCTCCAAGGCCCGATAGTGGCTCAGATATGCTAAGCCTCGCGTACAACCTTGGCCAACCTTGGCTTTCAGCTTTTCGCGTACGATCTAAGGCAGAACACAAGGTGAAATAATCCGTTAAGAACGCTTTTCAGGTAGTATGACTTGTGAAAGCGCAAAGGTGCGCTTTAGAATATGCAATTTTGTGTCAGGCCCCAATAGTCGCTTGCGTATGCTAGGCCTTGCGTACGTTAGGCCTCCGGTTCCTTTGTGTTATATATCGGTGGGGCGGGGAGCTCAAAGGAATGCGACATTGTGCCTATGCAAGCCACTTTGAGCCTCTGCTCTGCAACGGAGATTCATAAAGTTGCTGGAGATTCCTTGGATTTATATTGGCATTGTTTGCGACGCACCCGACGATATATCGAACGTGCCTGGATAGACACGTTTCTTTCGTTAAAGTGTTTATTCAGTACTAAAGCACCAGTACCTCGCCAGCTCTTTTGCAGCATTTACGCAAACCAGTACTGGGCGATTCTCGGAAAACCTAAATTGCCTCTGAATGCCTAAACCACACGACAATACTTATGAAACGATGTTGACTGAAATGATAGCCCCTGTCGTTACGCAAATATTGCGCCTTCTTACGACGAAGTGTTCTCTTTAACGTACCTTAAGAGAAAAACAACTTGCTTCACCACACTTTTAACTTCATTTGAGACGCGATGAAAAATTGTTCAACACGGGGTACCACTACAACCCATGTTTTCAACTTAATTCAACTTAAACTATGTGCTCATACGAATAATGCATTATGCACTGCACCAGGTAGCTAGAAAAAAAAAATGAACACGTGAAGCTGGTTTACACACCACAACATTGTTTTAGTTTCTTTCACCTCGGAACTCTTTATACTGTGTAAAAAGAATGTGTATGACTTGATTTTTATTTAGTCTAAGTGGAAAGTGAAATGCTCCGTGCGCCTGTATAATCAGACGAGCTAAACTTCCGTGTCTTCAGCGAATAGTCTTGTCTCGTCGTTATAACGATTCATTTGGTTACATTACTTGTTCCCCAGAAATATGTAAATCATTTGCAAGGAGACCGAATAACTTTATAACCAGTGATCCGCAAGAGCACTGTGGCATGCTGGTGTTTTCAATGGTTCCCATGTTTTGTGCAGGTCACGTGATGAGCGGAGAACCAGTGCAGATCGTACGAGTGAGGAATGGACGTGACATTGAGTTTAACGAGGCTGCCCTCGAGGACATCCTACTGGCGGACCATGTAAAAGACCTTCCTGTAGTGGTTATATCGATAGCCGGAGCCTACCGGCAAGGTAAATCTTTTCTGCAAAACTTCTTCGTGCGTTACCTGAGGCACAATGGTCAACCGAGCTGGATCGAAGAGATGGACACTCCTCTACGTGGCTTCGAGTGGCGCTCGGGCAGTTCCCGCGAGACAACGGGCATACTGATTTGGAACGAAGTGTTTGTGGTGAGGCTCCTATACTGTACTATTGGTAGTGTAGTAAGTATTAGCAGTAGTAGACTAGTTATGGTAGTAGTAGTAGTGGTAGTAGTGGTGGTCGTACGAGTAGTGGTAGTAGTAGTAGTAGTATAGTAGTAAAAATAGAAACGATTCACTCACAGGAAGCAGAATACAGAGCCAGGCACTCGCAGAGCTCCCTGCATGCTCGAGGACTAAAGGCAGAAAAATCTGACATAGGCCCCTATGTCTTTTCTATCCTAGATATTTCTGCTATTTCGTGGTATAAGCTGTGGTTGCTGCATATTTGGACTTTATTTTTCAGGTAAAAACAATCGATGGAGATGAGGTGGCCGTTTTGCTGATGGACACCCAAGGCACCTTCGATGGCGAATCAACTGTGCAAGAGAGCACTACAATATTTTCTCTCTCCATGATGACGAGCTCGGTGCAGATTTACAATTTGATGAAGAACATCAAAGAGGACGATCTACAGAACCTTCAATTTTTCGCCGAGTATGGCAGGCTCGCGAAGAAGGTATTCATGACATAAATTTTCATACTAGTACGTTAAGGGGTAACAGGGTGCTAGTGTCTATTAGAGTTTCAGGGCAAAATGCTTCAGCCTTGTTACAAATTATCGGTGAAACGTCGATTCGCCCAAACTTCGCGTGACACGATGTGACTTGTCGCCGCTTTGTCGCCTGATAAAGTTCATTAAAAGTTTAGACGTTCCAACGTCAATGCTTTACGTTAACCATATCGGGTCGTCTTCTGAGGTTTCGTAGAAGTCTTTATTTAATCCGAAGCAAACAACACGACACAACAGTAAACAAAGTTACAAGTGGCAAGTGCGCTCGAAGCCACAAGCACGATGACTAGACAAATCCAGGTACCTCCATTATTTTTGTTGTGACGATACAACCGCAACGCCATTTTTCATTTTCACAAATATAGTATCAAACCATATGATTTAAATAAGCAGTCGTTACTTGCACTTACGCAAGCCCCTGAAATGACAAAATTGTACCATCGCAGGAAACAGAAGCAACGCCCTTTCAGAAGCTTCTGTTTCTCGTTCGAGACTGGAGCTGGCCGAAAGAGAAAAATTTCGGGTTCGAAGGAGGCAGATCGCTCGTCGCGAGCCGTCTAGAGGTGAAAGACGGCCAGCATATTGAGCTTGCACAGTTGCGGCTGAACATCAAATCCTGCTTCGAGGACATCGATGGTTTCCTGATGTGTGACCCTGGAGAGAAGGTATTGGTTTATTCACAACGTCTAATGCATTGCTCATGTTTCGATAAAGTGTCCTACATTGTTTCAGTCATTTGAGATTCTTTAATGTACACTGAAATTGCACTACAGCCCTAATACTTTACGTCCTCGGGAATGCTCCGCTATGGCGGAGATACAACCTGCTACATATATAGGGTCAGTCACCACGCACCATAACGACTGGGTCAATACGGTGGCTTTTTATGCATATCAGTTCCTCTAATCTTTATACAACGTTTAGAGAGGCACCGCACTCACTTTTCTCTCCTTAATCTTTTTTGTAGCTTTGCGAGAATTTCTTCAGAGAACTTGTCTGTATATAAAAAAATCAACTTTATTTCAGGTGATCTCCAATGACGTATTCGATGGTCGTCTAGCGGACATCAAAGAACCGTTCCGGGAGAATCTGGCGCAGCTTGTGCCTGCTCTTCTGGCCCCGGAAAACCTGCTGGTCAAGGAGATTAATGGCCGAAAGCTATCCTGCCAGGAGCTCATGATCTTCTTCAAGGTCACTACCAATACCGATCCTCCAGCACCTGCATTACTAATAATAACTCTTCCCACAGGCTTATATAGATGTATTCAAAGGAGGCAGTTTGCCAATGCCGACGTCTATGCTACTGGTAAGTCATTGTAAAGTATCGTTTACGAATTCTATCGAGGAAAACCATGCTTTTTTTTTTCAGGCAACTGCAAATGCAAGCAACGTAGCAGCCATGGACAAAGCCAGACAATGTTACATGTCGGGAGTAGCAAATGTGAGTGCAAAGAAAGCAAAAATAACGTTAATGATATGTGCGTTGTGCATTTTAATCTTTGCAGAGGCCTAGGAGGAATCTGGAAAGACTGCGCGAGTTTCATTGCCAGCAGCTGGAGGAGGCACAGAAGGTGTTCAGTGAATTTCCAAAGATGGGTGGCGACGCCATATCATCAACAACTATGGATGTCCTCACAAAGGCAAGGTTTCACCAAAGTAAAATGATTGCAAGTTGAGCATGTTGCTAGAAATTTTCTGTAGTATGGATCAGCACAACAGAAGAACGCACAAACGTAGGAGCTGAATAAGAATTCGACTTCTTTTGAATAATGTATTCATAAGTACTGTCACAAAAGTGGCTACATGTAGTGAATTTCGATAGATAAGTATTGGAGAACTTTAGCACGCAGCTTATTAGGCATTTTCCTGAGAGCATTTGGTCCACTGTCTCAAGCAAGCCTACTGGAATGCGCATCATCCAACCTACGAGAAACTACAATGGCTCATAAAGTTAAAAAGATATTGAACTAGATATGAATGTGAGAAATTCTTTTTAAATTGATAGTTCTCACTCATCACTTCACTTGCCTTTATTTTTGTTTTCTTTTTTTGTGTGGAGATAGCACAGGCTCTACATGGTATGTCCATTGTAACGACAGAGGAACAACGATTGAACGGAGAGAAACGAACTATGCTTGCTTGCTTGTACATTAAGTTTTTATCCCTGCCCCCTACGCGGAACTGGTCATGTATTCAGCGCTTAATAAGAGGGCAGCACTATGATCTATCCGTGGCTGAATACGATTATTACAGAGTTGACCAATGTTTATGTTGTGCAGGAGCTTGAAGATCTTTTCAACCAACTCTTCAAGGAAGAGGAGGAGCTCATTGAAATTGAACAGGAAGAGGAGTTGAGAAGAGAGAGGGAGAGGCTGGAGGAGCTTAAAAGGGAAGAACAGAGGGAAAAAGAACGAATTGAAGAGCAAGAAAGGGCGGAAGCATAGAGAAGCGGAAATGCGAAGAGAGAGGGAGGCAATGATGGAGAGGGAAATAAGCCTGCGGAACAAAGCGGCGGCAGAACAAGCTGAACTGATGAGAAGTATGGAAGCAGAGAGAGCGCGCTGGTAGAGAAAGGGCACTAGCAATGCACGTAGAACTGCAGAGAGAGAGAAAGGAATTGTGCAAGAAGATAGAAAAATTGGAGGCGAGAGCGAAGGAGTCCAGGAGCAATCCGCTCACAAGGACCTTTAAAGCAATCGGATGCGTTTTGGCAGCACCTTTTGCAGCCTTATTGCATCCGCCGGCTGCTGTCGAACTCATCGAAGAGGCAGGAGAAGCGCTTTCAGGGGGAAGTGGGCCTGCCATCAGAATCACGTGAGCAGAAAATCTTACCATCGGAGTCGCATGGTGGTTTCTTTTGGTTCTGAACGTTATACAAACGAGCGTAACCGCTCATCCAGCAGCCAATTTATTCATTATGCGCGCATCCCAATGGAATATGCGAGTCATAGGAATGAAGGATGCAAGTATTCAGTGACTTGCTATTCAACTGCTTTTCTTTTACGTTTTTAATTACTTTGCGATGTACACTTTGATGGAAAACAAATAAAATATTAAAAACGTGTAAAATGAAAGAAATTAGAATTCTCGAGTTGTTCAATTACAGTCATAGGAATGACTGCTTTTCTTGTTTGTACAGTAATTTACCGCTAACAACCTCAGGCTATAAACGCAAACACTCATTTATGAACAAGCTATGAGGTGCTCAAGCAGTGTCAGTATTGGGAAGTTCAAATCGGTACGACACCGAAGAGAACTTCGTTCCTAGAGCGTGACAGGCTGAGGTCATACACCGTCCCGAAATATAAGCTTTTTTCTTACAACGCATTGTATTCGCCATAAACATACCCCTCTATCTGATATCTATAGTAGTGCTTGCTATTAGATAAACATCGCGCTTATGTGGAATGGAGTCACCAGGTAATTGAGCAAACATACTGAAGAGATCCTTGGCGAAGCGGGAAGTCTAATTGCACTTAAAAAAGCTGCCTTTGTGTAGGTGCTCAGGAAATTCAGAAAATGAGTTTGCTCTTCTTAAAGGTAGAACCGGCCGTGGGAGAGTCATAGGTGAAAACTTCCAACGAATCCAGGACATATAGCTGTCCCGACAGCTACGACGCGAGACTGCGGGCGCTACACAAAAAGTCGGGGCAATCGCGCAGATTTTGGCCCGGTTGGACCAGTGGTGCGAAACCACATACTGTGGCCCGTGGAACAGGGATATTTACCACGTGTGTCTGTAGGAAAGGGTGTGATGACGTACGCGAAAATACTTTCACGCTACTCACGTCGCAACCAGCCAGGCACATTTTTCAAACCGTCATACCCTCCTGCAGCAATACTTCTCTACACTATGGACCCCGACATAGATAGATAGATAGATAGATAGATAGATAGATAGATAGATAGATAGATAGACAGACAGACAGACAGATAGATAGATACGCTCAATATATATATATATATATATATATATATATATATATATATATATATATATATATATATATATATATATATATATATATATATCAATGAAGGGTCAGCATTATTTTCATTCACTCCATCATACAATTTGAATCCACGTAACACAAAAAAACCGAAACTGTGGAAATGGGTTTTCAGTTATCATGATCTCCTGCGTGAGAAAACTTATTAACAAAGCTGTCAAATTATCGCACCATCTTCACAGATATTTCTGCTCCGTTTAAGGTGCACAATATTCTCTGTGTTGATACATTGAAAACAGGTAATAAAGAGAACTACTCATATGTCAATATTCACTAATTCCACATGGCAATTCGAAGATACTTCTGCATTACTATCTCGGTCATGCATTCCCACTTAAAGGTTATAATGATTTCCCGGCTACTATGATCGCAATCTCGAAAAATAAAATTAATCCGATTCAGGTCATACGTTTTCCTGGATCCTACGTTTATTTTCCACGTTTCTTTTTGTTTACTAAGAGGGGAGGGGGCAGAAACGTATCAAGAAGGTTCTACTGTATTTATTACGGTTATAAAATTGAAATATGTACATTGAAAAAAAACCAACTACAATTAAGAGCTTTCAAATACGTATCACCACACATTACGGAAAAACCACACATTATTGAACTGTACGCACAGTGAGCGATCACTTGTGTTGTCAAGATACAGACAGTCCTTTCTTATTGTTATAATAATCACTGCATGAAGACGTTGAACTGGATGCTGTAGCATGGCGGAAAAAAAAGAATGCCACATTGTTCGCTACTTAAACTCAGTTTCAACTATATCGCACTGAGAGAGTACCAGAGTGAATATTCAGTGATCTATACTGAATTTCAACACACAGCTACAAACTACATCGAAGACTGTAGTCACGGTTGTGGAGGATATTACCTCATTCTACATAAGCATGCTATTACTTGTTGGTAAAAAGCAATTGTAAACAGTTGGAACCCTTGTCTTAAGTAAACTACCGAAAAATTGTCTCTGGACAAGAAAATGGTTCCCTTACTATTCGAAGTTATTAGAAGAACAGCCTATTTCTGTTCGGATCGTAATTAACATTATTCTGTTCCTGTTGGATTCGCTCGTAAAAATAAAACTAAACTCACACATTCGTAAACAACTCATCCGATCCTATGCACGCTCGGCCATGCGTTCGCGTGCAGCCTTGGCCACTCTCTACTCCTGTCTCCGCGCGGAGAGCGACAGCGGCCCTCGCTCGCCCCGACGAGAGAAGCACGGGCTGTTGCAGGCGCATTGCATCTACCTTTGCAATCGCGTGCTCCGACTTCCTCTTTCGGATGGCGCAACGCTCACTGTCGCTGCACTCCGGCACCGCTTGGCATCTACTCAATGTCGGGATATTCGACCGCGTGGTGTAGCGCTGGACTCTACCGAAGTACACCCATCTCACGCTGACGGCCGCCACTTGATCCAGTTTATATGACGCGGCCGTGTTCTCGCTCCGGCCATTGGCTGGGTGCGATGAGCGCAACATTGGCATTTCAAAAAAGATCATTACTATCCCTGACTGCTGCACTCACAAAAAACAACAACAACAGAAATAAAAACTACAACAGAAAACAATCATGTGCATTTCTTTACCGACACCATGATATGACCTAATATAGCCGCGGCAGTTGATCGATTGATATGTGGGGTTTAACGTCCCAAAACCACCATATGATTATGAGAGGCGCCGTAGTGAAGGGCTCCGGAAATTTATACCACCTGGGGTTCTTTAACGTGCACCCAAATCTGAGCACACGGGCCTACAACATTTCCGCCTCCATCGGAAATGCAGCTGCCGCACACGGGATTTGATCTCGCGACCTGCGGGTCAGCAGCCGAGTACCTTAGCCCCTAGACCACCGCGGTGGAGCATCACCGCGGCAGTCATATTTCGGTGGAGGAGAAAGGATAAAGACTCGGGTTCTTTGCGATGTGACAGCACGTTAAAGAACACCATATAGTCTAAATTTCCAGAGCTCTCTACTATGGCCTCCCTCATAATCATATTGGGGTTTTATGATGAAGAATTGAGATAATATAATGGTACCATGCAGAAAATGACGCCGGTTTGAAGTTGTTGCTCCAGTTCGCCATGACATCGCAAATTTTACTGCGTCTACGAGGTGTTACGTGGTCATTTATGGGTAAACATTAGTTATATAGTATTCTAACAGACCCAATGTCATAACTTAACTAGTTTGCAAAATTTCATTCAGCCGATGTCACCAAAAAACCCTAAAAGACTTTGGTAGTAGAGATGTCATGCTGCGGCTAATTCTGTGGCGCAACCGCAAGTTGCGCCACCAAATTCCAACATACGAAGGTTACCGTCACTTTCCCTTCAATTTAATAACCTATGATGACGACAATATTGGAAAATGAACTTGCGAAATATTAATTTTGCTTCCTAAAGTCCGATCATGGTTCACGTTTTTGTCGTTTTTAAAGGTTAGGTCGGGCCCTTAACCAGAAATTTTTCGAGGGGTGGGGGCGCTGGTTCACATGTTTATTGCTTTGAAGAACACCTATTTTTGTTATTTTTCATTTGTAAAATACAAGACGGTGCCTTGTTGAGCACCCTCCCCCCGCCCTTCTTCCGGCTACTGGTCTGATCTAGGCATTATGCGTTACTCCTTTAACTCAGTTCGGCTGCTGTGCATGACTGGCAAGCACCTAACGAATTGCATCTTGTGCAGATAACGACGGGTGAGCGATATTTTCGTGGACGAGGCTCGCAGCAATCGGACAACAGGTAAAATATTGAAAGCTGCAATTGCACGTTTCCGGCGCATCATTGACTACGTGAGACCACTGGTGCGCCTACGCAACAGCTAGGATGAAGAATGCCTTTGGGGAAATATAAGAGCGTATGACAACTGCACCTAGCTCTGAAAACCTTGCGGAAGAGATTTATACGCGTTTTTAAACTCAGCAGGCCCGTGTCTGTCGATTCAATAGGTGACCGGTAATATGGGCAATCGCTGGGAACTGTGGGATATGACGGCTTCCGGTTCGACGCAACACGCGAGATAGTGGAGGCACGCACGCATTTTTGTACGGGTCAATTGAAAAAAGCACCTGTCTGTGCATTGTCAGTGCTTTAGAAGTTGGTTTTTTGTTTATGCTAACCGTGACTGCGACGATGACAAGCTACGAAAGCCATGAGTGGTAAGAAAGCCTTCTTATTGCACTAAAATGATCTGCAATGCTTTTATGCTGCTTTACGTTAATGTCAGTTTGGATAGCAGATCAGTCGATACACAAGACAGTTTCCATTGTTGGATGAAAAACTGCAGATAAAAAATCACCATTTTAAAGATCTCAGGGAATGGGGATGACTGTAGCAGTGTGCTAAGAGTTCATTTCGGTATCGCTGCTTCGGCCGACATCGTCAGTAGATCGGCATAAAGCGCAGCACTTATTAGGGAGTTTTAGAACAGCGGGCCGCGAGCCCTTCCGGTGTTGTCACTGCAACTGCGCACGCATCGTAACGCGAGTCGCCATGCGCGTTCGCGGCCCGCACGCAGAAAATTCGAAATAGCGTGTGGTGATCGCAGCCTGCGAGACCCGCAAAGTGCTGTGAGTAGCTCTCATGCATTTGGGTTAGTGGTCGTGGCGAAAGTCCCCAGACTTTTCTCTAGGGGGAGCACACGCTATTCTAAAACTCATATGGTGCCCGCTAAGCCCGCAACGCCCGCAGCCCCGGCGAACGTTATTCTAAAAGTCCTTATCGAGTGCGTTGAGATGTCTTTCTTTTTTCTTTTAGCATTCAGCGCGCTATAAGATGCGTTTCTTAGTCGAAGCCACATGCTTATTCGAATGCAGTTCTTGGTAAAACTGCGAGGCACAGCTGCACATAAACAATGCAGTCAGACATACACGGCGCCGGATAATCGAAACCCTGTGTTTGTTTAACACACTTCTTTCTTTCTGCACCATCATGGCGCACATTTTGACCCAAATAAATGCCAATGAACTCGTAAAGCGTTGGTATAAACTTACTCTTAATTATGTGAAGCTTTCGCCTTTTTTTTTTTTGTAATATATAGGGGTGCATTGGCCGGCGCTCATCTCGTATGGCAGGTAGATTTCACCCGTGCATTCCCATAATATATTTGCTAGGCGCCCCTGCACGACGATTTATTTCTCGATATGATATTTGCAGCAAATTCATGCGTAAGCTTTTTACTAGTGCGGATTATACACGTACTTGTGATAAAATGGTCTTCGCACACTCTGGCTTCAACGTTCGGTAACCCAAAGGCTACCTATCGCTGTGGCTCTCTTCACAGTCGCGGCCCACCTCATTTGTATTTCTTCTTTCCATTGGGAATCAATAGCCTGCGTTTGCATTTCACGTTCAACTTGGAGCAGCCAACGGCTGAACAACCGACCGTGGCTTATCAAGACGAAGATGAATGGGCGACCGCATGCGCGAATCCTGAATAATCTGATGCTTGTGGCGGAGTGGTTCGCCGTCATCTACTCTTCTCGAACCGGAAGCCGGCATCCCACAATCCCTCGTTCTTTTGCTGGTCACCTGTTGCTAATCTTTAGTGCACATATCAGTCCTGAGGCAGCAACTAATATTGGCTCTTGATACCCACGGAAACAGAAGCCACATACTGTACACTCATTTCGGAAAATGCAATAAGCATTACATGGCGCCCTCATGAGCAAGGGGTCGTAGGCATCAACAAGGCACAAGAGCCACTGCCGAAACATTCCAACTTTTCGTTACCAAGTTCCGTGCTCTAAAATAATGACCCGGCACAGGCAATGTTTTTTTTTTGTCGATCTTGTTTTTGTCGGCACTGAGAAAAGGCCAAAATACTGCTCTCCTTGCTTGCCTACGCCAAGGATACAAGTTGTGCCAGTCCCATTTTTTTAGCCGTGCTGTTTTTTTTTGTCTTTTTCGCACAACACTGCCTGAAGCACTCCTTTTATTTAGTTTGGTTTTCAATGGTTACGTCTGTTTTTTCATGTAGCAGACATCGTGTCGGCAAAAAAATCGCGATAACATGTTTATTACTCTGTTTCGGAAGACAAATTATCAACCAAGCATCACACAATGCTAATTGCAAAAAAAGAGGGTTGATAAATGCTTCCAATTATTACAAACGGTCCTCGTTCTTCTTTACCTATTAACTGTGGCGTGATGACCACTATGAGGGATTGACCAAGAATTCAGTGGTTTTATAAAATAGTAAGAGGTTTTGGAATATTGTATCGCTCACAAGTCTACATTGCTATCAGCTACGGCATCAAGAAAGGAAGCATGCTACGCACTTTTAATGCTTTACAAAGCTATAGCAGGTATCAAGCTTCTCCAAAGAATGAGGAGTAGTAGCACAGTGAATGCTTCTCTGACACTCAAGATGTGTGATTATTTATGGCTAGTGTGTATCTCACAAGTGTACTGAGTTGCCAAGGAAATGCGAAAACATGTATAATATAGCATTGTGGGGTACTAAAAAGATAAGCAGGTGTCACTGCATGGAAGGTATGTAATTTAGTGGGGTTTTTTAAGCTTTTGACGCGTAACAGAAATAGCGGCTGTTATACTTCAATGCAATCAGCCACTGACTCAACAAAATGCACAGAGCACTCTTCAGTTTTACAGCGAATACCTTGATTCTGCACAGAATAATGAATATAGCATAGTGGGTGCTTTCATACTCCACAAAAATTACGATGATTTTAGGCGTGCAGAGCACCATGAAGATGTACCGGTGCCCATGGCGTTCGCATATCGTTCTGAAATGCGCTGTTTAGAGTTTTGTTTAGAAGGATTGAATAGAGATTGTTCTAGAGCCAGCCTAAGGGAGGGTATGCAGCTGTTCGTGAAGGTATTATCGCTTACAAGACTTTTCATTCATAGGCCGAGCAGATACAGAAAATTGTGGTCAGAAAGTTTAAGATAAAGTGAGCCTCAAGTTTTCAGCATTGAATAAGGGCTCTAATGTGTCGACAAAAACTAAATGGGGAGTTCTAAACTTGGCGCATAGGCACAATCAGCAAACGAAATTTTCCTATTTACGGCATATAGGATAGCATAAAAGGGCAAGACTACCTCTAATATTATTTTACTATGTTCCACCATAACCAGTTGCTTTTTTACTGACATTGTCGCGGTTGATTTGACTTCATCTGTTGCTTTAAAGGTCTAAATAACTACTTCTCAAGCTAGAGAGAAAAGAAAGCGGTAAAGACGAGGTAAAGTGACCAGCGATGTTAACGCCAAAGCTAATAATACCCGTATGCTGGTGAAGGTGTAATACAG